TGAGGAATGTTTCCCAGCAGTGGTAGTGCATAAATGACCCTGCCCAGCCTGCGTCTGACTGCGCCACCGCAGCAGGAGTCGGGCACTGGTGCTGTCGCCTTCTCCACAGGTCCAGCAGCGCTGCCAGGACCTGGAGAGGATGGTGCCAGGCCAGGTGCTGACTCCTCCACCGTGGGACCTGTCCAAGAGTGGGGACGCCACTACCCGCCCTCCACCCACAGCAAGCCCCACACCAGCTGCCAGCCCCAGGAGCACATGAGGACCCCGGCTGCAGGGACAGAGGGACGTCCAGACCCAGCAGCAATGTGCCAGCACATGCACCCGGGCTGAGCGTGGCTGGAGGACATCCCACCCACCACCACCAGGACTGGGAGCTGGCTTCCCTGTGACTGGAACTGAAGCAGCAACCAGAGACCCGGCCCACACAGGCATTAATGGAGAAATCCAGGTAGAGGAGAGCTGGGAAGATGCCCTTTGCCTGCCTGCCGCTACAAGGATAAGTGAGATACTTGTCCTCCACTTTTCTCTGTGCTCCAGAGGAGGGAGCTCAGCATGGTTTTGGAAGAACCTCCTTTCCAAACAACAGTGCACCAGACAGCAGTGCTTTAAAGCCACAGGATGGTTAGCTGGGGTCATCCTGTGACCATAGGGACAGATGCTCTGGGGAAAACAAAAAAAGGAAAAAAGAAAAAAGGAAAGACCTTCATCACCAGGACATGGTCAGACAGAGATCCTCACAGAGAAGTTTTCCATGACAGGAGCTCCCCACAGGGGTGCTAGGGCATACAGGCTTGCTGCCCTCCTGGTTTGACTTGTGTCCAGGAAGAAAGTGTGGAGGCAACCTGTGTGTGATGAGACATTTCCTCTGCCTTCTGCCAGTGGCGCTGGGGTGAGGAGAAAGGCACCAAACATGCTGTGGGTGGCTCATTCCTGTGCATGTGCGTGAGATGCACACAGGCTTAAGTGAGTGTTTGCATTTCTGGTTCAATGCAGGGATCTTGGCCTTGACCTGAACCTTCAGCAGGCAGTATGGGGGTCGCTTGTTCAGGCGCAAAGCTGGGTATTTGGGGATGGCTGAGAGGCCACCTCAGTGCTCACAGAGGGTACCCAAGTCCCTCATGACTAACGTGACAGCCCCCACTCCAGCTGGGTTTTGTTCCTTCTTCCTGGTTCCCGGAGAAGTAGAACCAAACAGCAGTTCCTGTGAGGGGTTTATTGGTGTAGCTGTTTCCACTACAGTCAGAGGAGTCACAATGCACAGCGACAAAAGGCCTCCTACACTACACAAGGAGGACAGGACACACATGGCCATAGACACACAGAGACACTTGTCTCTCAGCCCTGGGCACCGCGGGTGGGCTAGGCAGTGGGGCAGGAACCTGCCGCTGGAAGAGTTTTCCTTCTCTGGATGGATATTTCTGCAGACTCCTGGGGAAGTGCTGGACCCTCCCAGTAACAAAAGCACCCACCTTCTCCTGCAGGAGCCATGGTGATAAATGGAAACCAGGGCAGTGGCTTGACCAAAATGCAGTGACCAGTCAATGGTGGAACGAGTGTCCCAGCCTTCTCCCCAAGGCCATGCCAGCTGCTACGTCAGGGAGAGGCTGGGCCCATCTCCTCTGATGCCGTCGGCTAGTGAGAGCTGTTAGCCGTGACCATGTTTCCTCCATCCCCGGCAGTGAGGGCACTGGGAATGGTTTCTTCAGTTGAAGCTGGAGGGGCCTCAGGAGACACGTGCTCGGAATGGAGGCTGCTGCCTGGTGCTCTCAGGAGACAGACCTGTGGCCTGCCTGGTGCAAAGCTTGGAGCTGCCCAGGGGTTACTGGGGGCTGAGTGCAGGCATGCTGGTTCTTACCCATTTCTAAATAGTGGGCACCCCTGGCAGTGGAAGGCGACCCCAGCACATGAGTGGAAGTGGGGCCAGAGGTTTCAGTGACCTCCCTGCAGGGAACCAGACCCAATGGCCTCTGCACAGGGAAGAGGGGGGGACCCAAAGGAGCCTTCTGTGCTCTAGCACTAGATTTCTTGTCTAGCTTCATATATTTGGTTTATTCTCCAGGACAGGAACCTGGGAATCAGGAATTGGGAAACAGCACTGTGACCAGACCTTATGCAATGCCCTGCAGCCTTTGTGGAGGTACAGAATGGCACTGGAATCCTGTTAGTGCCCATAACAGGGCAGGTACCTGTGACTTCAGGATACCTGCTTGTGCCTAAGCCTCTTCTCCCTGTGTTCTTTTCTTTTGGGAACAGAGTCAGAAAAACTGTTCTCAGAAAAGCTTTCCCCAAACTGAACAAGATTGGAAACATGTCCTGTGGGAGCATGACCGGGAAGATGAAGGCCTGGAACACAGGGCCCGCAGAGCACCCCTTACCCACCAGACGCCAGTGTCCAGTGAGCTCTTGTCCCATCAGTGCTGGGACCATGGGGTATCAGAGAAGAGCACTGGTCCCTCCTCGCTCATGTGCTGGACACCTGTGAGGGCACCAGAGAGCCCGAGCTCCCTAACCCAGGCAGGTCTGTGGGTGGCAGCGTGTGTGCAGCAGCCCTGTGGGCCATGAGTGTGGCACTGGCCCAGCATGAACATTCCTAGATGAGGGTAGAGGCTATGGGAGCAAGGCACCTGCCAGCTGAGCAAGGGGCTGCTCTCACCACAAGCCTGGGAGGAGGCCACTAGCCACCTGCAGGCACCTGGCTTGTCACCATAACTGCTCAATGGCACATGGAGCTGGGACACCCAAGCTTCACGGTAGCGGAGTGGGACACGGTGGTGCCAGCTGGAATGGTTCTCCTTCACCACCTGGCAGGCTCAACACCGGCTGCCTCCAGCAGGGACCGGGCAGACCCTTGACCCACAGGTGCTCTGGACCACACAGTATCTGGATGTGAGAGGCATCTCAGCTCACCAGGTCCAAGAGGAGAGAGACGCACAGCCTCTGCTGAGGGAGCGATGAGGCAGCCAGAGCCAAGACTGCCTCCGACAGGGCTATGGAACAGCCATTCATTGGTCCAGGCAGGAGTTCGTGCGATTCACGGCAAGTCCGATGCCATCTCCAGGTTAAGCCCCTGGGAGGATGAGCGGGTGTTAGCAGCCTGTCCCAGGAGAGAGGAAGGCAGGCCCCAGCTCAAACAGGCATGTGCAGCTCGTTGTACTCGTCCCGGCCGTCTTCGTCAAAGTTCGGCTCCGCGTCCTCAGAGTCCAACTGGGGAGAGGCAGAGACCGGCCCTTGAAGGCCACAACAGCTCCCAGTGCAGGGTCTGGAGCCCTGAACTGACAGAATGGCATGCAGAGAGCCAGGCAATTTGCCAACCCCAGGAAGAGCAAAGATCTTCCTCTGTTTTGTGCCTTCTCCACCCAACAGGTCCCTTTTGCTGTCCCTCTACCCTCAATTTTGCTTCCCCAGCCTAATACCCTCCCTTGGGAGTGTTCTTGTTCCATCAGTGGGGCCTTGGTCCAGCACAGCGACTCCTCTCTCCTCCCCTGCTAGCAGCACTCAGGTGCTGCTCACTTGTGGCATCCTTGCTCAAGGCTGCTCTCCAGCCGAGCCTGGGGTGTCACACGTGGCACCCTGGCACTGCGTTTTAGTGGTCCTGCACCAAGCAGCCACAGGCTCTGGTGTGCTGCTGCCTCAAAGGAAAAGGGTTATCCCCAGAGGAAGCAGTCACAAATGGGGAAGAAGACAGGAGAGGAACTCCTTATCCCAGGATCCTGCTTAGCAGGATTCTTTGTGTCTTTGACCTGGGCCGTCGATCCATCCCACATTGTATTCCCAGGGCTACGGACTTCCACAAAGTCACAGGGCCATTTACTCCTGTTAAAAACCACCCCTCAGACAACAGCAGGGAGAGATGAGGCCTGGCTGGCCCAGGATCTCTTGGCTGCTCAGTCTTCCAAATCTCCTCAACCTCACCACAATGTAAGTAAGACCATGGGGACAGATATCTGCTTACGGCTTTGAGCTCCCTGTCGTGGAAGAAGCGGGGCAGCACAAAGCGTCGCAATGGCACTGTCATGATCAGGACAAACGGGAAGGCCAGGGAGGCCACTGTAGATTTCACCACCCAGAGTAGCACAATGCAGGCCAGCTGGATGCAGGTGAAGAGATTCATTCTCCAGGTCTTCACCTAGGGATACGAATCCAGTTTAAGAACACATTATCTTCCTGTAAAGGTTAACCAAGACCCAATCTGAGCACTGTGCCTGTCTGCTCACTACAGCATGGTAGTACTTTCTAACACACCAGCCTCTGTGCAACCTACTAGCATATCCATCTGGCAGTGCAGTGTCCCTACATCCAGCCAAGCAATGCATTACTCCTATAAAGAGTTGTCCTTGCAATACCTTTGCTGCGCAATTGTGTGTGCAGCTTATCAGTACACTACCCAAGCATCACTTGAGCTTTGTGCATGGCCTGCAGGATCTCCTGGTATGGCCCAGCAGCATACGAGCCCTCCACATCACCCAGCCAAGCACCACTCGAGCGAAACACCACCCTCCCTCAACCTGCCTTCTCTTCCTTTGCTCCTTATTGGCCAGTGCCCCCCAACTCACCTTAACAACATAGATGTGGTCAGGGTGGTGCTTGGAGGGCATGAAGATGAGAAGCAGTCGCTCATAGAGCTGGATGCCAGTGAGAGACGTAACCCCCATGTAGAGGAAGATCCCGAAGAGCACAGCCAAGGGGATCTGCCGCAGCATGTTCCCCATCACGATGGACAGGCCTGCACAGACAGCGCTCAGCGCACAGCACGACACACACCAGCCCTCTCCGTATTAGTACCCCGGCCTCCAGCCCTCTCCTGTCTCCTCTGTCTATCTGACCCAGGGCACAGGGGAAAAGTAATTCAAGAGGAGCTTAGCTGGACAGGTTGAGGGAGAAGGACGGGCCCTGGGGAGGAGTTACTGAGTGCTACCAAAGGGCAGCTAGAGTCAAGTGTAGGTGGGGAAGAACAGTAGCGAGCGGGCAGAGCAGAGGCTGGCCCTGCCAGGCAGGGACACCACCAGGTCTGCATTTCCAGCTGCCAGCCCTGAGCTCCCGCATCATTCCTTCACCCGAGCAGATGCTCACCGACGAGGGCAGCAATAAGCACTCCTGTCACTCGCTGCTCCTTCACCTCCTCGATCTTGGGCTTCTCGCCTGGCGCAATAGCCTTGCTCATGACTGTCAGGGCATTGACATGGGTGACGGAGCGCACGGTTGCTGCAGTCAGCCAGGGCAGCCCAAAAAGTGCACAAAGCCCTCCCATAGTGCCGATGAGCAGCAAGTCCAGGTGGAAGCCGGAGCCTTTCAGCAGTTTCCTCTCCTTCTTGCTCACAATCAGTCTGAGAGGAAAAAGACCCTGTGTCAGTGCCAGTTCCAGCTTGGGCCACAGCATGCACCCACTGCCTATGGCCCAGGGACAGCACTGTGACAGGGGACTGCTCACTCTCTGGATGAGGCACATGTAGTGACAACAAGGAGATGGCTGGGGAGATCTCAGATTAGAGATTTCTTTCTGTGCTTGGCTGGGGCAGGTCTCTACCATACCATATCCCAGGAGGGGAGTCAAGAGATAATGGGAAAACCTAAGAAGGTACAGTCTGAAATTGCCAGGATCCTTCTCTTATTGCTTCCTGGGATGCCCATTTCTGCATCAGTGGAATAGCACCCATCCCAGCCTTGCTTGCCTGGAGGCCAGCGATGGTTGGAGTTGACGGGGGAGGTACTCACGTAGTGATCTGTGTCTCCATGAAGATAAGAATGAAGACCAGGAGGGCAGGGATGGCAGAAGCAAACATCATCCACATCGGAAAGGTGCCCCTGCTGCCCATGGGGTGAATGAACCAGCCACGCTTGTGAGGAGACGTGACGGACAGGCCAGACGGGACATTCAGCTTCTGGTAGAGTAGCCACAAAACCCAGGAATTATTCATCAATATGCACATGCCCACAGCCCCACAGAGCTCTAGCTCAGGTTGTGGTCTTCCTGGTCTGAAGTCCTCAGAGGACAGGAGAGCCACTCTTACTGGACCTGGACTTTCTCATGCATAATCCTTTTCATTTTTATTTTATTTTTAATCAATCAAACAACAACAACAACAAACTCACAACAAAACAAATGCATGCTCCCAGTTTCTAGGATGAGCTGGTCTCATTTCCTCCTTCAGCTACTGGAATTCACTTGTTTTTTGTCCAAGAGACTGAGGAAATATCTTTCCTGAGGAATCCTGTCACTATGTCACTACTTATAGACCATATATAAAATGCTTCTTGACCTCTGCTTGGTCAGATCAAGTGTCCTGAAGGGCCTACTCTTCTCTGAGGTAGTTTTTCAGACAAGTCTTTTCTGACACATTTTTCAATATTGTTTTTGGATCCTAGAGCCAGGCACATTCTTTAAAAATGATCTCACTTTTCTCATGTTCAGAGGGAAGATCATGTTTGCACTGCTATCAGAGACCACACAGACTCCCAATTGCACATGGTCCTGACCCTGCGTTCACTACCATTTAAACTCCTGGCCCTGCACAGCTCTGCTGCAGTTCTTGCTATCTGTTTGCGTGAGTACTGCAGACAGAGTTTATCATTTGCATTTATGTTAATCAACATAAGTATGAATAATATTCTTGGAATGCTTGTACTTGAGCTAAGCTCTGTAACAAAGCACTGTTTTCTCAGAAAGCTTTGCACATATGCTGAGTAAATACTAAAATGACAATGCTGCTGATATTAATTGTAAAAGCGTATGAAAAGGATGCAGCAGAATGTTTGATTTTAATAAATTCTGATAAAAGCACACTTCTCATTAAGATTTAAATTAACAAAAAATACCCCATTTGTATTCTGGTAAGCTGTGGGCGATCTTGATGAAAAACTTGCCTGTTGAACAAAAAATACCTTTCACCCTCTCCCCAGAGTTAGTTGCAAGAAATTCCCAAACTGAAAGATATAACTATGCACATGATAAAAAGGAAGGGAAAAAAAAAGGAAATGTGAGATGGGTAGGTTCAATAACATTTAAGCTTGTGCATAAACTACTAAAGAAATCACTTTTTCAGATAAAGTAATCAAAATGTTTAGTAGCCTATGTTCAAGGAGAGTTTAAATACCAAAGACTAAAAACATGACAGAGTACCACACTGCAACTATGCTATATGCCACCCCTTCACTGCAAACAACAGAAGCTTATATCTTGTTGATTGATGAGAAGTTTTTATAGTTGTAAGCAGGAAATCAACTGCACTGAATGTCTCGGGTCCTCTAAAGCCTACCAACAGTT